GGGTGAGGGGAAGGGGGAGGAAGGGACGTGCTCTCTGCCCTGGTGCCTTTCCCTCCGCTCCCTCCTCCTCCTGCGGCTGGGGTAAAGGCGTCTAGGCCCTCGCCGAGGCCTGGCTTCTGCCTGTTTTCCCGCCATCCTTCCCTTTCCTGAAGGCTGAGCTCCCTCGGGTGCCTTAGAAGCCGCCCACTCGGGGTGCGAGGCCGCCGCACGCCGCCTCCCTGTCCGCTGGCTCTGCTCGCTTCCGATCTGCCGCTGCTCTTCAACTTCTCTCCGCGGCAGCGGCCTCCGCGCCCCGGGGGCTTTGTGCTGCACTGCCACACGGCCTGCCCCTCCCCTCTCTGCGTGGAGCTTATTATGCGCCGAGCGGAGGCATCTGGAGTTGCTTGACTTAGGGTTTTGAGAAATGCTGTGCAACCATTATATTAACACTGACGAGTTTGTTTTTTTTTTTCCTTGCCAAATGGGACAGTGAGGTCCGGTGACTTGTTTCATTTGAAACCTTTTCCTTTTTCAGTGTTCGATATGGGGAATGTGGTTATTTATGAAGTCTACAGAAATAGATAAATTCTCTTCTCATGAACGGTGGATGTGCGTTAAGATGTTTAGCAATGCTGTTAAGTTATGAAAGAGACTTTTATGCAGCAGAGATAACAACGGTTTTAACAGTTGTGATAAAGTGATTGTTTTTCTTTACCCTCGCTCATTGGAGCACTGAATCTAGAAATAGCCCTTGTTTGTACATGTGAAGCCAACTAGTTCTGTTAATTCTCAGGTGGAGCTTTGAGTTTTATTTCAGTGATATTGTTGTAATGAAAGATTAATTGTAGTTCAGAAGGCTTGATCATCCTGAGTTGTCACTTCCATTTCTGTTTGTTGATAATCTCCTTTGCTAACTTCAGAATTTGACAGCACTGTCATCAAAAACTTGCATCGTAACACAAACACACATGAAAATGTTGAAGGCTTTTTGAGTTATTGACCCTAATTTTGTGGTTTATAGTTTTATTCAGTACCTAAATTGATAAAAATATTCCATGCATATCTGGGAAGAAGGATTGGAATGTGCTTAACAATTTGAGAATACAGTGAATAGTTTGTCTTACTATTCTGGAGCTATTTTAGTTCATATGTATTCTTTTAAATATTATGTAAATGGATTTAAAGATAGAAGAGAGAGAACAGTATGCAAATAAGTATTATCTAACCGAAAATATTAAATGGTGTTAATCTCAGTGGAGAATTTTATGGTTAGTCTGTGTCCAGGCTTTAAAAGTTGAGAGAGGATCTGTTCAAGTGCCTGTGGAAAATGAAGTGTTTATAATCTTTAAATAATATATCTAAAAAAATTTATCACTTTTTTTGCTGTGGAGTGCTCACATTGAAACTGAATGAAATGTAGTTCATTCAGTACTATCAGATGTAGCAACATATATTTCAACTCCATTTTCTGCAGTAAGTTTTCTATAGAAGTTAGCTTTGAAATTTTAGAAAACTCATGAACTCCGTAGAGGAGGAATATGACATTTGAGTAATATTGGCAACAGAATAGTAAACTTCTGAGGGAGAAAAAATATTGGAAAGTATTTGGTATACATTTTGATGCTTCTAGAATACACTTTAAATTTCGAAAAGAAAAAGCAATAAAACTTAATAGAGTAGGCAACTATGGTATTTGAGTAAGTCATCTGTAAATTGTTTTATATATGTTAGTATATACTCATGCTAGTGAAGGAACGAAGTACTTTCTTGCTAACTGAATTAACTAGTGGACAGTTCATATATTGAAAGTGACTTTCTTCTTCTCATGTCTGTTCAAATCCTAATGCATTTCCTAACTTCTGCTTTTTCCTATAATGCTAGTTTTCTATAAAGGCCTTGCAAATATGACATTTTTTTTCCTCAGAAATCTGCTGAAATGTAAGCAGCTTCTTTTCTGCAGATTTTATAAAATTAGTCTTTAAAGAGTAAATGGAACATACTAAAAATATTTTTACATTAATGACTTATCTGTTTCTCTGGAGTCATGGCTCAGTAGGTCAGGATGATAAACTTAACACTTGTAAAGAAAATCTGTAAGTTCATGCGATTTAAAAAAAATCATGAATAGTTGGTATAAACTACAGAATAAATCATTGAAATTTATATCTGTGTTTATAATTTGATTTTCGTTATAAACTCAAAGCCATTGATTAGAAGTATATTATCTTTATCCGTAGGCACAAGGTGGTCTTATAAATTAACTTTGAGAATAAATTTTTACTTTATTCTATTTCACATCTTTCTATTTCTAGTGTTTCAAGAAATGTGGTTGCTTACACTGAACAGTTGTTATATATTTGTAATATTGTCATTGCCTATGAATGTGAAAAAATATATTTGCTTGGTTTAATTACATTTGAATGGAATTTGTTGGGGTGAGAAGAATGGAACGTATGCAGGCACAGTGCTTAATTTGAGTACATCATCAATCACTGAGAATATTTGAAAACTTATTTCAGACGTGGGTGTCAGGGTTTTTTTTATAACTACGTACTATCTTTATTCAATTAGCTAACTTTTATTCTAGATTTCCCTAATGTTAAACGTAAAGCTAAAATAGTTGAATAAAACACGTGAATATGAGCTTTCTGAAAAATGAAAGCCACTTATGTAGCTGTATGCTGTATCAGTACAGGATGGTGAGAGTACTCGCTGCTGAATAAATACCCATAAGAGGAAAGAAAAAACATGAAAAATAAAAGGCTACTTTGTATATAAAGGGTGTTTAAAAATTTGTCTTTTAAACTTTTCACCCCTCCCCACCTTCCATCCAAAAAGGATCGGAGGTAGTAGCGGCTTGGCAGAGACACACTAATAGAATGGGGTTGATACGTTTTTCTGGTGGTGCTGGTCTTGGTTTTTTGTTTTTCTGAAAAAATCACCTCAAGATATTTTGTGTCGCTTTAGGAAAAGCGAATGCTGGCGTAATGTGTCACTAAATAAGTTTGCTATCTCTTGAGGAATGGAAGAATAAGATTTGTCTTCTGGGGCTGAATGTTTAAGTTGGGGGTTCCAAAACTTTTTACTGAAAGAGATAGATGATCCATTATGTTCAGCACGCTTTTGAAAAGAATATACATGAACAGGGGGAGTTTGGGAGCCTTTCATCTCATGTTTATCTAGATCAGTAATCCATACTTTATTATCTCCTATTGGTTGTTTGCAAATTGTACCCTGGGAAATCTAAAAGTTAGTAAATCCTGTAACATTTTTTCTTTTTTTTTTTTTGTTATCAAAGTTGTTTTTGTGTCTCTCAATATAAGTAAGATAGGAAAATGCAAACATTATGAAAATGACAGGATATTAGGATATTACAACAGCAGTTGTTATTCTAAATCATGGATTTCTGGTGCTGACAGGCCAGAAGATAAGTTTATAAAGTTGTTCCATTCCATATTCACGGAATACTTAAAATAAAAGTTCAGTTTCAAGGTTAGAAAAGAACAACCTTCTCACCAAAGCCCATAATAATTCTAAATAAATAGTACTATATGAAACGTAGCTATACAGTATTCACTTTTGTTGATCTTTGGATATCTAATTGCCATATTGTACTAGTGATTACTACCCAGAAGATTTTTTTTTTCCTGCGTTTGGTAATAAACCTGCGAATTGACCTAATCTTTTTGTATGCTTTTTAATGAAAACTTAAAACAGTGATCAGGCTAAGTGATAATGCTGCTGCTAAACAAAAATCAAGACAGGATGACATTTGAAAATACTTCCAAAATTCAGAACATGGAGGACCGTAAAGGTTGCAAGGATTTATTTAGCACTTGGTATATCTTATTTTGGATAATTACGGTAGAAGCAGAGTGCTGCAATAAAGAAGTTAAGGAGAGCTGAAGTATTTGAAATTTGATAAGGTAAATTATTGGATAACTAGATTACAGAAACAACACCTGGAATTCTTATTAAAATATTCAGATTACAAATTTTACTGCTTCTGTCTTCTATTTTGGTTATTAGAGATTAGTTTGGTGCCTCTGAGGTGGTGGCTTTAAGACAAGATTTTACAAGCTATTGCTGCTACATGTGGCTTAAAATTGAGATCATTTAAGTTCCTGAAGGGTGAAAGATGGCTGAAGTTGGGGGATGTATGTCTCTTTTTTTTTTTTTCTTCTTTTTTTCCCTAAAAATGATTAAGAAGTAGTATGATAAGGTGTTGTCTTAAGTTTGATGTTGTGAGATATGGAGAGATGCTAAATGTGGTATGGTCTGAATGAGTTTTCTGTGGTAGGAACACTGGTTGCCTGAATATTCACTTTCCTTAAATGTAGAGCAAAACATTCTTTAAATATATAATCTGTCTGTATACGAGTGTTAAAAATTTGATTCAGTAGCGTGGCTGATGCTGTGTATCTGCAAGAGTTTGTTTCAATGCAATCATTCTGTATTGATTAAAAAGGTAATCCTCGTGTTTGCATTTTCTAGTCGTCAACAAGAAATTGAAGAGAAACTCATAGAGGAAGAAACTGCTCGAAGAGTGGAAGAGCTTGTGGCTAAACGTGTAGAAGAAGAGTTGGAGAAAAGGAAGGATGAGATTGAGCGAGAGGTTCTCCGCAGGGTGGAGGAAGCTAAGCGCATCATGGAAAAACAGTTGCTCGAAGAACTCGAGCGACAGCGACAAGCTGAACTTGCAGCACAAAAAGCCAGAGAGGTAACGCTCGGTCGTTTGGAAAGTAGAGACAGTCCATGGCAAAACTTTCAGTGTCGGTTTGTGCCTCCTGTTCGGTTCAGAAAGAGATGGAATACAGCAAATCTAATTCCCTTCTCGTATAAACTTGCATTGCTGCGAAACTTAATTTCTAGCCTATTCAGAGGAGCTCACTGATATTTAAACAGTTATTCTCCTAAAACCTGAACAAGGATACTTGATTTTTAATGGAACTGACCTACATATTTCAGAATTGTTTGAAACTTTTGCCATGGCTGCAGGATTTATCAGCGGTCCTTTCATTTTTGGGGAAGGGTATTGAAAATCTGTAATTATGTATCCTTCATTTGTTTCATTTTGTTTACCTAGACTGTAAGAGGCTTTTGCCTTCAGTCAGGCAAAAAGCAGGGTCCAGCAGTGAGCTGCAGTACCTGTCTTTAACAAATAGGTTTCTTACTCTTCATTTAAAATGAACATTTTCCTTGAGCATACATTGGACTAATTCGGGGACTTCGAGCATAAGCCCATCCACGTCTTCACGAAGAATCTGTGTCCAAATCATTATATCAATTTTTAATAACTACTAACAACTCCTTTTTTTTCCCTAGAAGTTATAAAAGAGCAGGTTGCCCTTGTCTGAAGTCAAGCTGAACATGTGACTTGGGTTTTTGTTTTGGTTTTGGTTTTGTTTTTTTTTTTAATCAGCAGCTGGAGCAGAAGCTGAAAATGTCTTTCTGTGAGACAGTAATTTGCTACTAAAGGCTTTGATGCCTGCCTGCACCAATCATTCCAGGATCCAGAAATTTCAAGACAAACTTTAAACCGTAAAGGAAATGTGTGCTAAATAGTCATAAGTCTCAAATGCCTTTTTCACTTTGTACCTCCTACACAGTTTATTTTAAATTAATGTTTTGATTGGCTTACAAATGGAAAGACAGTAGCAATGAAGCTTTCCCCTTCATACTAAATGTCTTGTCTGTCATATAATATCTTCAAATTAAAAACAAAAAAAAACCCAGAACACTGACTTAAAACAAATATTAAGAATATTAAATTACACTTGGTTTGCAAATTCAAACCTTAACTATGAAAGAACTGAATTTAGATGTCTGTAGTCAGCAAATGCTTCATGTATAGAGGTTTTCATTTGATCAGATGGATGACTTTTTTCAGTTTTTCAAGTATTTTTGCTATTGTCAATGTGATGTGAAGAAGTCCCATCAGTTCTTTATAGCGCAGAATAAACTTCCATGCCTGGAGTGAAGTGTGCTAGCTAGTAGCTGGTTACTAGTCATAGTAAGAAGTTTTCTCTTCGTATGCTTGCTTTGTTCGTATTAACTTTTTTTTCTTACACAGACACAAACCTCTGGCTAACTTTAAATCTTCCAAATATTAAAATAATTCGGATATATATTACGTGAACTGAAACACCTCAAAAACTTTCACGCAGTCTTCATATTTATGAGTTGCATAACAGAGTTCCATAAAATTCACCAAGAAAACAACAATTACAAGGCTTTATTTCCTGATCTTGCCTTCCCTGGACTCCTGAATTCCAAGTTCAGACTGCAAATGACAGTTTCAGCTGTCTTAAATTTGTCAAAATACTGAATGTTAAGTCCATTCTCCCCATGAAAGAAGCCCATAGCTCCATGAAGTATGGATTACCATTTGTATTTTTCACTAACAGTAAATGTATTTTTCTTATTAATTGTTTGCCTTAGGAATGATTTACATATTTTTGTTCCTTCTTATCATAAACATCTGCATTCCTCAGCTCAGCCTTCCTTGTATGTTGTTTCTTTATAAATGGTTGAGCTGCTGATGCAGGTATTGCCAAGCTAACAGTACAAATCATTTTAAAGAGGAAGCTGGCGCGTATGGCAGCCGAGGAGCACACTCTGCAGGACACTGGACAAGACAGTAAATATTCAACTTTTAATGCTGATTAAAGGAGTATAGGTAAAGAATACGTAGGTATACTTAATTGGTGAGACAAACTATTCACTTTATTTATATTTTCTATATTACTTTTTAATTTGGTAAATACTATCCAGTTTTTGTAGTTGTCCTTGTTGATTTGTGTGATATTAAAATTCTAGTAATAAATTGTCAGGATTCTATGATTAGGGAGGGTTTAGTTGGTTGCTGTTTGGACTGGGCGGGATGATTTAAATTGAGTACTAGAAACCAGTTTTAGTGGCTGCACAATTTACCGTTGTGAAACAAAATAGGTGGCTGTAAAGCTGCCACTTTAAGTCAGTTCACAAAAGAATTCTGAGAAAGATTAGTGAACATGCAGAAATGAATATTTTACTTTACTAACATCTTGCCCTGTCCTCCCCTTTAGGAAGAAGAGCGTGCAAAGCGTGAGGAACTAGAGCGAATACTAGAAGAGAATAATCGAAAAATTGCAGAAGCACAAGCTAAACTGGTATGTGAAGATGTAGTTAACAGTTCTGTAGGGGAATACAGGTCCCTCTGCCTGATTTGCAACACAATTAAAATAAACAAATCGACCCTTTCTGGGGCTTAACTTGTCTATTGCCGGTTATGTCAGTAGCATTGCTCTCCTTCCCTTGAGCATAAGAGACCAGATCCTTAGCAGTAATGCTAGTCTGAAAAAATAGTTCAGGTGCAGTTAATTTAGAGGAAGATAGCTGCCTTCAGAATTTAAAAAGTACATTTTTAACCTTATCTCACAGGGAAGGTTGGAAGTTAAGTTTGCAAACACGTTCAGCTTCTAGAACAGAAGTGACTAATTCTGTTTTGTTGAGCAGGACAAGTACAAACTGGACTTGAGACTAGTGTAATGTGGCTGTACCAAGTGCTGAAAGGGACTTTCAGCATAAGCCTAAGATGTCTAAGTTATGAAAGTCTAGCTTATGTTGGTCTCCAAGCCTATTTAAGCAGGCGCCTGCCTCATGAGAACATTCAATATGATTTAGCTGATTCTAATCAACTCATGATAAGCCAAAGTAAGCTGCTTCTAAATCCTGATTGAACTCTATTGGTTTCAATTACCCAAGTAATTGCACCTTTTTCAGGTAAAGAAGATGCTTCTTAAAACTCTTTGCTTGAACTCCATCTGCTTTAGATCTCTTTCTGTTTTACCCTTTCCCAACCTCATATGGTGGAAACGGGACAAATGGAAAATTTAAAGTATTAACTGATATAATGAAGAAAATAAGCACCTTTAGAAGACCATTGGAAGAGCTGTAAGAACCATAAGTCAGTGTAAGGATTGACTTGTTACAAATCAAGTAAAGATGGTTTTGAATTAGGAGGGGTTTTTGGATGGGTTTTGGAGCGGCGAGACCTCTGTTTGAAGGTCTTATACTGCATTGTATTGTGCCTTCATCTGGCACAGAGGAACTTCTCTATATATACACTGATTTCATTAATTAAAATGTAATGTGTTGTTTGCAAAGCAATGCTGAAAAACATTGCATGTAAGCACTCCAGGTTTCAATGCGTTAGCTGTAGAAAATTTTCAGTGTTTCTTCTAAACTCAATTCAGATAACCATTTTCTAAATAATTTCACTAAAACCAACTACGGCATCTAGCTCAGGTAGAACTGCTTACATAACCGTGCAGGATTGGACCTATTTGGAAGCTAATACAGACTTGTAAATTGCTTTTATGACTACAAAATACGCTGGCCTAAATTCTACCATTTTCATATATAGGCTGAAGAACAATTGAAAATTGTTGAAGAACAAAGAAAGATTCATGAGGAGAGGATGAAACTAGAACAAGAGAGACAACGTCAGCAAAAGGAAGAGCAAAAAATTATCCTGGGCAAAGGAAAGTCTAGGCCAAAACTGTCCTTCTCACTAAAAAGCCAGGATTAAATTGCAACTCTGAACTCTTAAAAGGAAAAAAGAAAGAAACAAAAAAAAAAACCCAACGAAAAAGCAAAACAAAAAAAAACTTTGTATGGTAGCTTCATGTTGAAGTGGTTTTTTTTTTTTTCTCTCTCAATTTTTTTTTTTTTGTCTTTTTTGAAAGTCTGGAAAATTAGCTTGTTCTAATAGGGGCTGTGCTCTGCAATTCTTAATTTTTTTTTAAAACTTCCATTAAGTTAAACCCTTATCAGATCATTGTTGCCTTTTAGAGGGTAATCTATTCTCATCAATTTTGTTTCTGTACTAGTGGTCTGAAGCAGTTCAGGTCACTTTATGAATTGTGGATGATCTGATAAGGTTTTACTGACCTACTCATCAGAGTTTGACTCTGATAATTGACAGAACTTTATACTGGGTATTGCTGACTTTTAATTTTTTTTTTTTTTTTAAAAGTCAGTAAATACATGAGTAAATTGCCATAGTATTACTGGACCTCTGTGGTTTATTGTTAAATCAGTGTCCTATGATACTGTCCCATTGTTGCGCTTGATGTTCCTGATACAGGTAAGGAAATAGTTTGTCATTTCTGCTATGACTACATAGAGAGAGTTCAGTATTGTCTCTGTTAGATTTGTTTTTATTACATTGACGGCATTCAACCAGCGTTCCCCATTGTGTAAATAAACCAATTTGCTGAATAAAGTGAAAGTCTTAAATTCATATGTTTAAGTAAATTTTTTTAGTACACTTCTATAAACAGCTATAAGAGTGACAATTCACATTATTAAATTCAAGACTATAGTGGTATTTTTTTTAATTTTGCTTTAAACTATTGTGGCTTCTCCTACTTAAAATTGCAAAATTACATACAGTACAAAATCCCTGCAGTTGTGAATGTTTTTGATGGCTGCTGCTGTTTTCATGAATGTTGGTTTTTATTCTGACAGAGACTTATTTCAGCTGTAGTATCATGTTTAAACAGCTGTTTGGCTTACTGCATCCCGACCAATACTTCGATATCTAATCCCCTTCAGTTCACCTCATAATATAGTATATTGTATAAGTTAAGGTCATTTCCATATAATGAATCTGATGGATCCTAAAGGATTTAAAAATGGAAGTTTTTTCCCAAAGGACTGGACCGGCTAGCATACTTGAAGTGAAAAACAGAAAGTGAGATTCTGTCTAAATATATTGTTTTAGCCAGAAAGCAACTGTTATTCATATACAGATCTTGAATGTTATCCATTTATATAAACAGGTTTTATTTTGAAAAATGAAACTGCAGATTGAAAACTATATATATAAAAGTCCCCTTTTTGTATATAATTCTTCTGCCAAAACCTGGATTACTATAGCTTGTCCAGTTCTAAAACTTTCTTTTTCCTGTCGGTATGCAACATCTGTAGTAACCGTAAAATGAAAGTTACCAGTAGTTGCCTGAGCATTTGAATGTCACTGGACAAAGTTGGAAATAATTCCTGATATTCCCGAAGGATCTGTTTCTGTAGATTTGGCAAATTAAATGTGGGAGCAAGTTGAGTGTGCCACTGAAAGCAGTATTTAACGTGCTTTGTATGAAACCTGGGCTTGGGGGCAGACTGATGTGTATCGCTTTGTCCAGTATGTCAAGAAAAATGTGAAGACAGTAAAATACCTACATTATTACTGTACTTAAATTTGTCTATATATTGTATTACAAAAGAAGGTTGAAGGTTGCTTAATGCATAAAAACAAAAGCTGAAGCCAAATAAATCATGTACATGACCTGTTGGCAGGAGCAGGCTGTATTTAAAGCTCAACTGATACCTGTATTTCTAAAACAGAAAACATCCCCTGTTCCCTTATGAGAAACAAGCTATTAAAAGTCAATACTCAAAACAGACCTATGCATTTTTGTTTCCTCTCCTCTTCCAAAAGCAAGAAGTTAAGTTCTCATACATGCAGCTGTGGTATCAAACATTTTGTTCTACGTCACTCATTTGCCGCTAAATAGTAGCGTTTGTTCGTTACACTTAACATAGTGTACAGTACACTTAACATAGGCTTAGACTTTGAGAGGTTATTTTCAACCACACCTTTAGGACTACTGTGTGGACAAAATGTCCAATCACAATTAGATCGCCCCTTCTGCCATTCCACACCTCCTTGCCTGTGTTTCCTTCTCACTGCCCTCAAAAAAACAAAAAACAGCTACGTACTTCTTTTTTTGTTGTTGCTGGGGCAGAAGTTCAGTTGGTAGAAACCACTCTTTACTGTTCTAAAGCATTCTGAATTTCTTAGATAGCTTTTTGTAGACCTGGTGCAGGTGGACATCACATTTGCATTATTCAGGGATTTTCTTTCTTTTTAAAATTACCATAGGACTTCAGGGATACTGTTGATTTCAGGGAAAATAGAGAGGTGCACACAGTTTGGGAGGGGGGTAAATTGACCTTTGATGATAAGAGTTTGAGATGTTCTTACATTCCCTTAAAACTTGATACCTGTCTAATGCAAAGAAGGTTAGAACGTAGACTGACATTTTAGGTAGTGGTTAAACTGAGTGTGAGCTCTGTGTGTGGGTCTACATGAGGATATTAACCTACCTAGAGAAATTGCTGTTAGAAATTATGTTGGGTGCTTAATTTTTATTTCGTTACAGTGTGAAGTTTCAACTTCAAATTTTGGTTAGACAATTTTTGGTTCTGTTTTTTTTTTTTTTTTGGGGGGGGGGGTCCTTCCCCCCCAAGGGAGGCAGGGAGGCATTTTTTGTTGCCACCTACCTTGGGCAGTATCATTTCCCTTATATCATGACAGAAGAGATCATAAGTTTTCCCAACCCCATTCATAAATGTCCTGGAGAATTATTTTAATACCGAACAATGCATCTATCCGGCAGAGGCGAAGAGTGGAAGGTCTTGCAGCAGTATCCTAGCAGTGTGCTGTTACTTTGGAGATTTGTTAAAGTGCCCTTTGAACTTCCCATGTTCGTTACCATCATTTTTCCAAGCACAAGTGGAAAGCTGACTGCTGCAAAATGTATGGGAGGGCTGGTGTCCTTGAAGCTTAGCAAAGCAGAGACAATTAGGTTGGCGAGATGTCTAAGCTGCCAACCAACTGCATACCTACACATAGACAGATAGGTCAGTATTCTCTTACTAAAGTATCAATACTTCATCCGCTCCTATCTTGTCTTGAACAAGAAGGATCTATCTTCATCGTCTCTCCGTTTCTCTTAAGCTTTGTGCCACCTTGTACATGTCACCCTGTCTATTGCCTTTGCTGACTTGAAGATAGTAAACCCCTCTTTCTGATGCTATTAATGTGCCTTCTTAGGATTGTTCTGAGTTTCTGTGCCATTTTTTGCATGTACACCAAATATGAAGGTGTTGGTTGTGATTCACTTTTAACTGCATGAAGTGTCTCCTTAAATATTGTTAGAGTATTTGGGGTTGTGTTGTCCCTTCGGCAAGCAGGGGGAAAATGGTTAGCTCTGTTGTTGTAAGGTCTCAACTCAGTGCAAGTTCAGGTGAAGTTCAAGTTGATAAACACTTCTCAGTTTGCGTTTATTTCCGAAGAGAACTGGAGCTGCCTGTGTGCCTAAGGCTCATTCCAAGGCAGGAGGCTACGGTCGAAGTGCCCAGGCTGGTACAGTTTCGGGCCAACAGGCCAGTCCAGCTGGAGCTGAACCATGACCTTCACACACCTCTGTTCCGTTTTCGTGCTTGCATTTCAGGATTATCCCCCTCTCCCCATCCCACTGTTTTGTTAGCCAGCTGAAGAGTGCTGAGCCTCTGTTGACATTTCCATACAGAACAACCTAACGCTTCCTATCATCTTTCCTGGACTAACGTGTGGAACCAAGGGTTACGCGGGCACAGCGGCCAGCTCTGCACAAGGGGACATAAACCCTTATAAAAGTCCGGTCATGCAGCAGAGGTTTGATACCTGGTCTTGATTCCCGCCCCACATAACCTCATCACAGACCACAAATCGATGTAAGAATTTCTGTTTTCACAGAGTGATACTGATAATCAGTGTAAAAATAAGTGAAACAGAGGATTAAAATGCCTGGTTAGGATGTACCACCTTCTCTCCTGATTTTTATTACGAGGCTGCATGAATTCTATGGCTGTATTTAGGAGGAGCCAAGCTCATTTTCTAAGAAGCTATGGTTAACCAAAATTGTGGTTATAAAACAGACATGGAGAAGACAAATTAACATCTGGATATATATTCACTCTACCATAAGTGCAGAAAAGGCATTGTTATGGTGTGGGTGATATTTTAGGAGCTGTTTCAGGTATCTGGCACGCTTAGCCTTTTGTACAAACAATAAACAATCCATTTAAATGGGTAAGCGTCAATCATGTGACCATTTGTCTTTATTAAATTTAGCAGTAATTGTATCTATATCTTTTTGCCTTTCAAAATTGGTAAATTTTCAAGTAATGATGAATGACGGTGGGCTTTCCCACTTAATAAAAAATTTTGTGCCCCGTGTATTCTCATTGCCGATGTTTAGACTGATGTTTAAAAGAGAATCAGGGATTGTGGGCCCAATCCTGATCCCATTCAGATTAGCTCCCTTTTTGTTACAGGTTTCGTAAGATCAGAGCCAATATCTATGTAATTATTGCTCACGTCACTGTCGGAAAGAAGCTGAAACGGGTTATTCAACGATAAACCCGATTTTTGCTGTAAGGCCAGCTGAAGTGCGGGAAGTAAAGGTTTAAGCGGTGCAAATGGCAGAGTCCTGGTTTTCCCCTGAAGGTAGAGGGAAAGGCAGGTCTCAACCTGCTCGCTGGCCCCGCTCATCCGTCCGTCCGTCCGTCCGTCCACCCACCCCCGCCCACCGAGC